CTCTGGTTTAGGTCCTGGCAGTAATTTTTTTAATCTGACACCAAAAGTAGAATCAACTAAAACAAAAATAAATAAATGGGACTATATTATACTAAAAAGCTTGTGTACAGCAAAGGAAACTATCAACAAAATGAAAAGACAGTCTACTGAATGGGAAAAATACTTGTAAACTGTATCTAATAAGGGACTAATAATCAAAATATATAAAGAACTCAACCCAATTAAAAAAACTCATTAAAAATGGGCAGAAGTTCTCAATAAACATTTTTCCACAGAAAATATACAGATGGCCAGCAGGTTCATGAAAGATGCTCGTCGTAATTAATCATCAGGAAAATGCAAATCAAAACCACAATAGATGCCATCTCGTACCTGTTAAAGTGGTTGTTGTCAAAAAGACAAGAAATAACATTGGTGAGAGGATGTAAAGGGAACCCTTGTGCACTGTTGCTGGGAATGTAAAATGTAACTAAAGTGGACACCAGTATGGAAGCTCCTCAAAAATTAAAAATAGACCTACCATTTAGTCCAGCAATTTTACTGCTGGATATTTATCCAAGAAAGTAAAAGTGCTAATTCAACAAAAAGATATATGCACCCCATGTTCACTGTAGCATTATTTACAATAGCCAAGGTAGAAACAACCTGTGTCCATTGATGGATGAATGGTTAAAGAAATTGTGGTGTTTGTCTATTATCTATCTATCTATCTATCTATCTATCTATCTATCTATCTATCTATCTATCTATCTGTCTGTCTATATCTAATCTACTTATACATATTTGTATAATAGAATATTATTCAAACATAAAAAAAGATGAAATCTTGCCATTTGTGGCAATATAGATCTAAGTGAAATAAGTCAAAGACAGTTACCGTACGATTGTCTTATATGTGGAATCTTAACAATAAAGGGCTCAGAGATACAGAGGACATTTTGGTGGTTGCCAGAGCTGGGGATTAGGGGGTTGGGAAAAATGGGTGAAAGGGATCCAAAGATAAAAAGAAAGCAGATGGGGGGAAAAAGGAAATAAGAAATTTAGCTAAAATTGCCCAGTAAGAGAAAGTGTAGAGTCTGCATACAAAATCGAAAGATTATAAATCAAGTGAAAGGATAGAGAAATGAGTCAGAAAAGTATTTAAATATTCTCTCCTGCCTCTCCATTTCATCTCATATTTTACTTTCATCCTAAAGACCTTTCCTTTCTCCTCACTTCCCTGAGCTGGGATGGTGATTAATGATTCACCCACAAGACCCTGTGAAGTTGAGAGTCAGAAAATTTTAGTGAGTCAACCACAAATGCAGAACAAATAAGATAGAGAACCAGGGCTTGAATCCAGTGTCCTGACTTAATGTCTTCCTACTCCTCACGTTGCTGCAGTGTGGGACTGGTGGAGATGAACTCCAAACCAAAGTCCACTGTGAGATCCCAGAATTCTCAAAAAGAAAAATTTCCTTTAAGGGAAGTAGATTTGGCTAAATAAATAGGATTTGCGCAGCAAGGTTGAGAATGAAGAATACTTATTTTTCTTTAGAGGTGGAATTGAGTTTCTTACCAAATTTACAGTTTAGACTTCTGGAAGTTTTCTTCCACGCAAGAGAGCTGTGGACCACAGCAGACACCTGAAGTCTCTCTTCTACACGGTGTCACTCTTAGCTGCCATTAGGGTGTGACATGTGGTTGGGGAGAAGGGAACTGGGGGACTGGCCAAGATCTGAATTTGATTTCCCTATCTATAATTTAAAACCTTTAGTTAGAGCTGAATCTTTCTCACCTCTTTGTTCCCATTACCTGTTTAAAGTTCTCATTTAGCACTTAACAGTCTGCCAACTATCTTTTATGTATATATACATATATAACTGTATGTATGTATTTCTGTCTAGAGGCAATAAATTTAGCATGACTCACCACTACTCCTGTCACTTAGCACTGGATGTAATTCCTTTAAGTAAGGGCTAAGTTAGCTTTAGGAACTCTAAAAGCTTTTTTCCTGATTTGCTTTAATATTGGAGAAGATAGTCATATTACGTAAAATCTTATCTGGTTCTACATGAATAAGACTATAGCTTGAACTGCTGCTGGAGGTGTTTTTCCTCTGATGTGTCCACTGGCTAGAGTGAGGGTCCCAGGTGGCCCTTTTATAAAAGGTACAGATTCTTCTCTCTTGGAAAAGATTCAGGGATGGCGTTTTATTTTATTTGGGAAGTTTGAGGTCCCGGGGAATTTGAATTTTCCTTAGCTTGATTTCTCAAGCTAAGTATATCACTATCCCTACTAAGTTGCCCTTGGGTGGTGATGTATCTTGGTAAACAGAAAATACCAGCCAACTAGTGTAAATTCAAGTTCTGCTTTCCCTTTTTCTATCTTAGCCTTGTTGTATGATAGAAAGCTTTATCCATGCCTTCCTCCCAGGGCTGTTCTAAGGGTCTAGGGAGATAGTGGTTGGGAAAATGTCTTGTGGCAAAGGACCACATTATGAGAGAGGTGTTTGCCGTAAAGTGATACTGAGCATGACTAGTAAACAAAATAATCCTGGGGAATGGGAAGGATTCCTGTTGGGTGGTTTAATCCAGTTAAATATTCTGTGAGATGCTGTGACTGCTCGGGTCAGAACAAATTCTGTGGCCAGCCCCTTCATGGGATGAGAAGGGCTATTGAAAACATCTAATTCCATCATGTCTGTGAAGCTGTTCTGTTTAAAGAAGGTTTCTGAAAAACCTGAGTGATAAGTGTTCTAGAAGTCAAGCAGTGGTAAGGTATTCTACGTGATGTCTGTCAGGAGCCACACAGCCCTCAGCCCTAGGAGGTGGCCCCACACATAGACTACACAAACTTTATTGCTCAGGTAACACACATTTATATCGTTGAATTTCAGCATGCAGAGCCCTTTCTTAGCGATGAGATTCAGCTTTATGCAGATCACAAAAAAAGATACCCCAAGGCTTACATCTTTGTCTAAATATTAAATACGCTTTGTCCATTTCTCTGTCACATTGCATTATGGTGAGTTTGCATAAGCCCCTCTCTCCTGCAAGCCTGGGAACTTCTTTGTTTAGGGAACATGCAGATTGATTTTGATACTTTCCATGTTGAACACAATATCTGGCGTGTAGTGTAGACTCCATGGATGTTTATTGAATGACTGTCAAACCCTTTGCCTGTATTACTTTGCTTTTAACAATTCAATTTTTTCTTTGGCAGAAACAACTTGTCTTAATTACTTTTAGCCATTTTATGTTCTTACAGAAGTTTAGATGTAGTTTGATTTTTTTTTTTTGCCATTGCTTCTATTAACCCTGAGAGGAGGACTGGTAGGTAGTTCTGTTATGTCTGGAGAGCAGAATGTGTTCTATTTGGGTCTCTGCATCTTCTTTGGAAGGCTTTTCCAAGTAATGGGCCCACCCTTTAATTTAATGACAGGTCTGTCCTGGGGCCCTGGGGCCCCAAGGGTCTATAGATCCATACAACTTCTTAGTCTCGATGGAGAAAGTAAGGATGAAAAGGATGCCAAGAATTCACACAGGCGCCTCATAAACAGAATCATACTTTTCCTGAATTTTGGGTGATGCTGTAGACCATTCAGATGAGTTTAGCCTAGTCATTGACTTAACAGCAAGTCCTCGCTCTCCCTCCCTGAGCACTCATTTGAACCTTGAACTCTACATCTAGGTGCTACTCCTTGGCCCTCCTGTGTTCCACACTCTCTCTTTCATTGTCTTACTCAGGTTCTAAGGGTACCTGCAGTTCACACAGACACCTCATAAACTGAATCCTGCTTTTTCTGAATCTTGGGTAATTCTCACTGTTTAAAAGTCAAAGCCAAAATTTTTTAAGTTCATTTACAAGGCATTCACAGTCAACCCTGCCTGCCCTTCTGGCTTTATCCCCATTTCCTGCCCTTGGACCTTGGAGTCAGTGTGCTGAATCGTTTTTAATTTCCTAACCATTCCTCTTGCTTTCATACCTGTGAATATATTCTCTTCTCTTTGGAATTCTTTTCTTCTAACAACTTGTCCATTCGACAATCTCCTGTAAGTGTTTTCAAAACCAGTCCAGATTACAGATCACCCCTCGGAAACTCCCCGGTATCTCCAGCAGATTTCTCTTCCTCTTCCTCCCCTCCCCCCACCCCTCCCAGTCTCCTTTGGTCTTTTGTATATATGCCACTTAGAAAGAATGGAAACCATACTTCTAAATGTTTGGCTTTGCCACTAGATTTTGAGCTGCTTGAAGTCAGGAAATAAGGGTTTGTTTGTTTTTTAATCTTTATTTCCCCAGGACCCAACACACAGCCCAGTTCATCGCTGTTACCCATTACATGCTTTCTGAATTAACAGCAGCTGAACTGACCCAGAAGGATCTTGGCATGTGCCCTCAAAGGGCTGCCATCATGACTGACAAAATCTGGAATTGTCAGGATCTCTGATTAAACTGTCTGTGGTCACTGTCTTTAATGAGCAGTTTTGCTGGAAACTAGGATGAATTGAGGCAGGTAGGGTAGGAAATCTATATCCCCTAGGCTATCCCACCTCGAGGCCGTTCTCCTTGTCCACACAGTCATACATCACTTGTTACGTCCTTTATAAAGATTCCAACAGGGACTCCAGTTTGAGAACCCCTCTTGCTCTTAAGCAGGAAGGAAGGAATTAGAGGGAAAAATGTATGCCCTGGAATCTCATTTTTCTTTCTGTTGCCTTTGTTAGGTGGAGAGCTGCTAGGAAGCCAGAGGTGAATGAAGAATCCTCAGCCCACACTATTACCTTACCTCTTCTTCAGGCAAATCCTGTCCTTGTCGGTCTTTGACCCGCAAAAACAGGGCCAGTGCTTCATTCAGGGGCTTTATTTAAAGCTTTTAGACTCTGATTTGGAAGCTGCTGTTCTTCCTGTCTGCCCCCTCCTCGTGGGATAGGTCTCTGGGATCCAGGGGTAGGTGGCTCTACTCCTCACATTTCTGTCAATAGTGGATGTAAATGCCCCAGGAGAACACCCCCCTGTTGTCAGGAAAGCTTCCTGCCCGTGGCCCTGCACAGGGCATCCCTGACCTCCTTGTTCCTCAGGGTGTACACCACAGGGTTCAGCAGGGGGGTGATGACGGTGTAGGTCACCGAGATCAGCTGGTCCTGATCCCGGGAGTTCTCTGACTTGGGCTTGAGGTAGGCAATGGAGGCGCAGCCGTAGTGGACGATGACCACCGTGAGGTGGGAGGCGCAGGTGGCAAAGGCCTTCTTCCGGCCCTCAGCCGAGGTGATCCTGAGGATGGTGGAGATGATGAGGACATAAGAGATGAAAATCAGGCCCATGGGCACCACAAGCACCAAAACACTGATGATCAAAGTCAGAATTTCATTAACAGTGGTGTCGATGCAGGAGAGCTTCATCACAGGTCTGATGTCACAGAAGAAGTGGGCCACCTTTGTAGCACAAAAAGGTAACCTGAATACAGCTGTCACTTGTGTCATGGCTACAATCAGACCAATGCTGCAGGCCCCCCATACCAGCTGCACACGCACCCTCTTGTTCATAATAATTGTGTATCTCAGGGGATTGCAGATGGCTATGTAGCGATCATATCCCATTGCTGTGAGCAGGAAGCAATTAGTGATGCCAAAGGTTACAAAAAAGAACATCTGTGTAGCACAACCTGCCAATGAGATGGACTGGCTCATATTTACGAGGCTGGACAGCATCCTTGGGAGAATGACCAGTGTATAAACAGTCTCTGAAGTGGACAGCATGCTCAGGAAGAAGTACATGGGGGTGTGGAGGTGACGGTCAACTCGGATAATGGTCACGATGATGCCATTGCCTGCTAGGGTCAAGATGTACAATGCAAGGAACACCACAAAAAGGGTGAGCTGGTGCTCATGAAAGCTGGAGAAACCCTGGAAAACAAGCTCTGTTACGAGAGTACGGTTCTCTTTCTTCATTGAGTGGCCACTTTATCTGAAATGTAGAAGAATAGAAGGGAAATAATTTCAGGGAAGCAGTTTAAGCACAATTCTAAAATTGACTGAACTTAGTTCTCAGCTATAAACCTGGAGGATACACTTCCCAGTGGATTTAAGTTAATCCCCAGGCTTACTTTACTTAAAGTATTTTTACTCTCTGGCCACCTATTACAATTTGATATGCATCCCAGAATCATATAAGTATTTTTCCCACAGCATAACCACGTACATTCCCACTTCACCCTATCTTCATTCTTGAACCTGGAATGCCCTTCCTCCTTTCTCTTATTTAAATCTCCAGTTTTCAAGGACAAATAATGCAAGTGTTCAGTATCCCATCAACGATGCTGCGCTCCTCTGTTCTCATGTTTATTGGGATTGTTGTCTACACATCAGTGCCGCTTTCTCCTCTCACCCACTCTGACTGTACCTTTATGTCTTTGTATTTCACTAGCTCAGGACTATGCATGAATTTGATGCTTGAAAACAGTTTGTTGAGGGATTGACGGGAGAATTCTTTTTCAAGACTATGAATCATCCCCTTGCACATGTTTGAGGAAGTGGACACAAAACAAACTAAGAAAGGTTCATCTTGTTTTCGAGAAGGAAAAACTGGAAGCTTAACCAAGACCATCGTCTCCCTACTGCTGCTGAATGATGGAAGTCTGCTGACAGTTCACAGCACTGACTCATGTATATTGTAAACTGCTACATCTTCACCTTCCTTAACTAAAAGGCAAATTCACAGCCAATATAATTTTGTGAGTAGGCATACGCCTACTTTGCAGAGGTAAACAATTATACTAGGGAGGATGCAGCAAACTGAAGTGTCTTCATCTAAAGCAAAAGCAAGCCCTAAATATAAACAACAGTTATAGTAAAGGTACATCATTTTGTTGAATGAGGGGACCCAATCCAATTTATGTAATATTCCACATTTTTGTCTTTTTAGGCAGTAAGCTCCTGTAGGATGTTTAAATTGTATTCTGATTTGCGTATGCATATTCAGAAAAAAAGACCTTTTCCATAAAGTAATCACATGAGTGATGAAGGTTAGTAGCCATGGAGACCTCCTTCAAGTTTATAAAAATTTAGTTGTAAGAAGTTGGTGGCCGGATGTTAGTCATTTATGCTAAGAATGCTAAAAGAGTGAAGCTGTGAAAGAAAATATTTCCCAATAGGGAAAGGCATTGCACACTAAAGTATGTGGCTACAGGCATTGATTTATCTTCTGGGAGGCCTCTGGGCATAAACTAGCAGTGGTACAGCCATGGGGTGGTCTGGCTGCTCTACTGTGAAATCAGAAATGTATGTCAGAGCTTTGATTGGTGTCATGATGGACACGGGTGCTGCTAGCAACTAATGATGCTAAATGTCCACAGCACATATGATGGGCCTGCCCAAGAAAGGAGTGTCCTATTCCGAATACCAACAGGGTTCCTATTAAGAAATTCTGGGCCAGAGTGTCATCTGATCTGGCTGAACTCTGTCTTGAGGTAGAAGAATGGCTGCAATGAGCCGGTTAGCATCCTCCACCCTTGGGAGCCTCTAATTCTTTCAAGGATATCAAAGGAAGGAAGAGAAGACACAATCTTAGGAAGCCCTCCTTCAGCTGTGATAAGTCCCATTCTACTTCAATAAATTAAAGTGAGCCCATGGGCAATAAGCCCTATGTCATTGCCTTTTCTAAAGAACACTTACGTGTCTGCCTACTGCGGAGGCACAACAGGAGAGCTGGGATGGAGACAGCCGAGGAGTGAAGGCGGAAATGTCAGGCCCCCTTGGCCACAGTGTGCAGGAGCAGGGGCAGGGGAAGAGCTGGGTGGTCCGGAGGGCCGAGGGCGGGCCGAGGCCAAGCACGCCGCAGATACACACACCCCAGCAGGAGCAAGGGGAGGTTTGGGAGCTGCAGGCATCCTTGCAGCCCCTCCGCGTGGAAGTCTTCAAAGCCGGAGGAGATGCTCTCCAGAGAGCAGCCTTTGCAGGGCCTGGGGCTCACTCCCTAGAGATACCCTGGGAGACAGCCTGGGGCAGGCGGCCTGCAGACGGCAGGGACCAGGGGGCCTCATTATGCGTGGCGCTTATTTACCTAAATCCAGGGTTAGCATTTTGGGAGCCTGGGGAAACTTTTTGCTTCATGTAGGAACAGCATTAAAGAAAATTGGTTTATTTAATTGAACTTTTCTTGTTTGAATGAATACCTTGTCCTTCCTTACAGATATGCCTTGGAAACCCATAGTCTCCAAATTTAGGCAGTTCAACCTTAGAAGCATGTCACCTCATTGCTCAGGAAGTTTAGGCCCTTTTCCTTAGAGGCAGGAAGTCTACCCAGTTTAAGAATCTGGTTTTCTCTTTGGAATAAAAGTAATTGAATAAGGCCATGGTTCTGCAGAGGGCAGTTCATGCTGCCTTTCTGCCCTGTGGCATTCAGAATTGGAAGTATTGTCTCTTTAGACCTAAGAGTCCTGTCTTGGAGGCTAGGACATTCTGTTGTCTTTACCCAGAATTACCTTCTCTTTTCCATTTGGCAAACTTGTACTAGTCTGTCAAGACCCAATTCCAAATTTACTTTCCCCTGAAGACTTTCCATGAGTCAGTTTACTGTTTCTCAGCATTTTTTTAAGCTTCAACATGTGGTGCTTATCTGTGCCTGTTCATTCTTCAAGCCTTGAGCATGTGCCAGGCCCCACGTTAGTTTCTGGGAATACAGAAACAAATGAGATGCTTCATCAGCCTTTGAGGAGCTCACCATTTAGTTGTAGATGATATACAATTATAATAGACTGAAATGAATATCATATGTAAGTGGGATAGGGGAGGGATGGGCCTTGATTAGACTCAGGTCGGTTACAGAAAAAATACTGTAGGTGAAGTAAGACTGGGTGTGGAGAAAGTGCAGGTTCCTATGGCCAGGATTCTCACCTGGTCCTGGTCAGGTTACTCACCACCCACGTATGGGCAATATGTTGTTATTGACTGTCTATATAAAGAGCTCCGCCCAGTGCTCTGGGCAACAGGTAGCATGGCCACATGGCTGCTGCATGGCTGCAGGGCTGCAAGGCTGCAGGAGAGCAGAGACAGTGGCTGCAGTGCTGAAGACAGGGACTGAAATGACTGTGGGGCAGAGAGGCCCAGAGGCAGAGACCAACTTGCTACATGCAGACTTGCTCTGAGTAGGTGAGAGTCTAGTGATTGACCTGCCACCATGGGAATAAAGTTGGGTATAAGCCCTTTCACCCCAAGAACATGCCATGTCATTTTTTGGTCTCATTGAACCTATAGTGAACTTGTCCCGAGGCCAAAACCCATTGGCAAGACAGGCAGGGAGTTCAGCTAGATTGTTGATGTAACAGGTCAGGCCAGAAATCAGTTGGGGTGGATCTAGAGAAGTACAGTGGCCCAAAAAGGAGGGACAGGTGAGAGACATTTGAGGTGAATCAGTCGGGTTTGGAACTGAATCAATGTGTAGATCAAGGAAGAGGAAAGAGCCAATTATTTCATAAACCACTCTGATCAGATTGATTCGTGCCAACTCCCTAATGATTCAAATATCCATAGCTTCCTGTTGTGACAGGTAAGTTGAACAAAACGATCTCTGTATCAGTAGTTCATCATTATAGATAATTGGCTATGGGATCTCAGCAGGAAAGGAGTAGAGGAGCAAAATGCTTTATGATGCCATCACTTTGGGACAAATTAGAAAGATTTTGGAAATGGGGCACTGGGGAGATGGTGTAACAGCGTGGTGCCTGGGGAAAAGAAGAAGTATTCAGCTACAGAATCAACTAATATTGACTAAGCACTTCAACACATATTTGTCTCAGTCCTCCAAATGACCCTATGAAGTCCGTGGCATGATCCCCATTTTACTGATAAGAGATTATGAGGAGCACGCTCTGCCATCAACAGTAAATCCATTCGAATTTGGTGCTAGACAGAAATGAAGAGATGGGGTGCCTGTAGGAGCAAAGCTGGCAAAACAGCCCAGGGAGCCTGCTATAAACTCCCTCGGTCCTGCAGACCGCTTTATTTGGGGGACGGGCCCAAGTGGCTCTTATTGAAGTTCATTGACGGCATTCACATTAGTTTGAGATCTCAGGTCTAGTCCTCCTGATGATGTGTTAGAGTTGCCAGTGAGAACCTCTCAAAGCCCTGAGGAGGGCTCCCAACAGACGTAACTGAGGTCAGCATTGGTCCTGAATGTCTTAGTTCAGGCTGCTATAAAAAAAATACCATAGAATGGGTAGCTTTACCATCATGTATTTATTTCTCAGTCCTGGAGGCTGGGAATCCAAGATCAAGGTACTGGAAGATTCATTTCTTGGTGAGAGATCTCTTTCTGGATGGCAGATATTTGCTTTGTCCACATCCTCATATGGTGGGGAGAGAGCAAGAGAGAACTCTCTGGTGTCTCATCTTCAAGGGCCCTAATCCCATCTTGAGGACCCTAGTCTCATGTCCTCGTCTGAACCCAGTTCCCTTCCAAAAGCTCCATCTCCAGATAACATCACATTGGGGATTGTTGCTTCAACATATGAATTTGGAGGGACACAATTCAGTCCATTAGCAGTGAAGTTATATCTACTCTCACACTGTTCCCCATCCTACCCCTGTCACATAGAGCTGGTGTCTCCAAGTGTTTTTGCATGTGAAAAGTTCTTAATTTCAAAATATTTTGTGGACCTCCAACTTGATAATAATTGGATAATAGTAGTAGTATTGACAGAAGAATTCTGGAAAAGAGAACCATGAATTTAGTAATTGGTGCTTTCAAGTGAATTATGGTACATTCAGAAATAGTTGGACATGTATTTGTAAGTATTCAGCCTTCATATGACAACTGATGCACACACGAACCCTGGGACTCCTTGCAGTGACTCTGAGGTAACCAGGAGAGAAGAGGGAATGGCGCTGTGAGAAGTAGCTGGACAGCCGGTGGTGGGGAAGGGAGCCTGGGGTTGGAATGCAGAGGTGGCCAAGTGGTTTGTTAACACCTGGCGGGTGTATCCAGGAAGTAAGTCTTGAAGACCCTGGCAGAGTAGTCAAAGTAGTCCTTTTATTGAAAGTAGTGGTCAAAAAAGTAGTCCTTTTTATTGAAACATGGCATCAGAGACTACAAGGGGAAGCCATTTATAGAATTTAGTAATTGGTGCTTTCAAGTGAATTACAGTACATGCAAAAATAGTTGAATAGTTTCCTCCTGGAAAGAGGGAGCTCACTGTATGAATGAGAACTAAGGGCTGAGTCCTTATCAAGGGTGCCTTGATGTTGACCTCAGAGTGGCCTAGAGGCCAGTGAGTGTGGGGATGGGGATGGGGTAAAGTAGGTGTTAACTCCTGAAAACTTATGCCCATAACATTTTTTGATGCCGGACAGTTTCCCTGGGGGTTGGTACCATCAGCAGATAGGAAACAAAGGCCGGAGAGATTAGGTAGCATTCCCTGGGACACATGCTAAGATTGGGCCACATGCCTGTCCGGCCCCAAAGCCTGTGCTCCTTCTACAGTATCACACTATTTAAGGTGCTTCTACTTCAGGCCATCAGCTCCTGGAAGCAGGTCAGGGAAAGGAGAGGTACAGAGGTCAGTACTGAGGGGCCCTGTGCCCTGTCATTCCCCAGGGGCCACTGGGAACCCCGTTTCTCCTTTCACCTTTGAAGCAGTGCTGAGTGGAGAAAGGATCTGCAATATATTTGAGGAAAAGGCATATTACAATACATAATGTCTGAACTTCAGACTGATTTCTAAGAACAAGGACATTCTAATAGGATTTGAGCATTGTGTGAATCCACAGTGTATGGTACTCATTCTTCTCTTTGGTTATTAAAAAGGAGAAAGCTGGTTAATGTAACCATCATGAGCTTAAAATGCCAACTACAGGCTCTGGGGCTGGATAGCCTATTTTTAAGCCCTAGTTCTGCCACATACTAATTATATGTCCTTGAGGAATTAATCTTTTCAGGCCTCAGGTTTCTCATCTGTAAAATAAGTTTAATAAAATACCTCATAGGTTTATAGTGAAGATTAAATGAGTAGAGTGCTTAAATAAATGCCTGCTGTCTAGGATGCATTCAGTAGATGTATCAGGAGGGATGTCACGAAAGGAGGCAAACAACCTGAAAGTAATAAATAATAAAAGGAAAAGAGAGAAGAGCTGCCTACTCTTGCTAATTGTGTTTTAGCTGCCCTCAGATGTCTTCCTTCCCTTCTTCCCTCTTCCACTTAATAAACAGTTATTGATGAGCCTCTCTGTGCTGGGCCCTGTCGTAGGCGCAGCAGATGCCGAGAGAACGGTCGAAGATCGGAGCCTGAGTGACCGCCTCACAGATGCCGCTGGCTTGGGCCCAGTGTCCCGGAGCAGAGCCCGGAGCAGGGACCTGGGTGCGAGTGAGAGGGGGAGAAGCAGGATGGGACTGGGAAGAGCCAAGCTGAGCTCTGGTCTCAGTTGGAGGCTAACTTCAGTCTGGGCTAAAGGAGGACTCTGAATCGCACTCCAGATTGGTCCCGTCTTGAGGCACGGTGAGTGGCCTTTTGTACCTTCTGTGTCATGCAGGCGTTGGCTGTGGACTGCCCCTTGTGAGGGGTTGGGCGGAGTATGTATCACCTCTAAGAAAGCCCCTTTCAGCCTATGGCAATTCTTGAGAGCAGAGGGTTGCTATGAGTAGTTGGCACGCTGGTATTCACATCAGCAGGGCTGGGCATGCCAGCCCAGCAGAGATCCAGGCAGAGCAGCAGCCGGGTCCATTATCCTCTCCAGGGTATCCGGGAAGGGGATGCAGTTTGAAGACGGGGGCTCTTTTGCAATTCTCAGATGTCCAGGAAGCAATTTTTATGGTATTTGCTTATGTTGCTCAAAATGGATGCTTCTCGACCAGTTTGTAAGCTGACTGTCAGAGCCTGTGTCTGACACAGCTGTCTGGGGGTCATACACATAGTAATAGGCACAAGGTAAATACATGGAGTGAATTTTTTAAAGTTGTGGTATAGGATGTGTTACTTGTAAATATTGGAGACCTTGTTATTTTAGTGAAACTCCTGATTTTGTTTCAGAAACTTCCTGATTTTTATGCTGAGACCAGGTTCAGATTACATAAATTCCTGTGATCAGATATCATATTCTTCCCACCTGCACTTAATTCCTAGAGTAACAAAATGATATCTAACATAGTACAGCACCTGAATATGCTCTGCCTTGTTCGATTTCCATCAAGCTTGGTCAACTCATCTACAAGTCCTGGAAAATCCATTGATCCCTTGTCTCATTAATCTTTTCCTTCCTGTTTCACTGTATCTCTGTCATTCCCAGGTGCTTCCCACATCAGGTACCTGGTGCCCTCATACCGTCTCTTATCTGACTGGCTCTTTCACTGTGACACCTCACCAAACTCCTTTCGTTTTATCATTACCTAGACTGACCAGCCGCTAAGAGAGTGGCTTCCTGCCCAGTGCTCTGAGCAAGGCATCCTTGACCTCCTTATTCCTCAGGCTGTAGATGACGGGGTTTAGTAGGGGGGTGATGACAGTGTAGGTCACGGAGATGAGTCTGTCCTGCAGGGAGTTCTGGGATTTGGGTTTTAGGTAGATGAAGGAGGTACAGCCATAGTGGACAATGACCACAGTGAGGTGGGAGGCACAGGTGGCAAAGGCCTTTTTCCGACCTTCAGCAGAGGCAATCTTGAGGATGGTGGTAACAATTAGGACATAGGAGATAAAGATCAAGACCATGGGCAGGACAAGGACGCAGAGACTGATGAGCAGAGTGACAAATTCTTTCATGGTAGTGTCAGCACAGGCGAGCTTCATTAGGGGCCGGACGTCACAGAAGAAGTGGGAGATAATGTTCGCATCACAGAAGGGCAGGCTGAACACAGATGACGCTTGAATGATGGCTGTGCTCAGGCCGATGCTCCAGGATCCACTTGCCAGTTGCATGCAGGTCCTTTTGCCCATGATGACTGAATACCGTAGTGGGTTGCAAATGGCCACATAGCGGTCATACCCCATGGCTGTGAGCAGAAAGCAGTTGTTGACACCAAAAGTGAGATAGAAGAAGAGCTGGGTGGCACATTCTCGAATGGAGATGGCTTGTTGGGGGCTGAGGAGACTGGATAGCATTCGGGGGATGATGGCCAGTGTGTAACAGGTTTCGGAAATGGACAGCACACTCAGGAAGAAGTACATGGGTGTGTGAAGTTGACGGTTGAGGCGGATAGCTGTCAAGATGAGAGCATTGCTGGCAAGGGTCAACAGGTATAAGGCCAAAAAGACGACAAAGAGGATGAGTCTGGAGTGCCACTCAAAAATGGAGAAGCCTTCAAAGATAAACTCTGTGACAGCTGTGAAATTGGGTCTTGGCATTGAGGAGAATCTGGATTTGAAAGAGATGAAGTGGGAAAGTTGAGCATCCAGGCTCGAAACAGAAGGCTGGCCCAGAGCCATCATCAGCCTCATGCAGGGACTCACAGTGGGTATAGCTCTGGGCTTCAGAAGTTCTCAGCATTCAGACACGGGCCAAGTTCTCAAGACATCTCAGGGTTCTCAGGGGCCCGGCACTGGGGGCAGATGCAGTGGTGGCAGGGAGAGAGTGAATATGTAAAAGGGTTGGCGGGGCCACCCAACAAGCCTGGCTGGAAGTGGGTGAAGGGCAGAGAAGGCCTTAGACCGAGTGTGTATTGCAGCCTTGGAATGCCGCCCAGACTCACCTGGTTTAGACCAGCAGTGGCCCACCGTGTGTCAGAGTTCCAGCACAGAGGACATGCCTGCAGAGTGAGTTCAGGCCAGGGGCTGGTCTCTGTGCGGGGCCCACTTCTGGAAGGCAAGAGGCCAGCTCCAGCTCTGCTCAGAAGTGCTTGGTAAATCAAAGTGCGTGTCACCGCCTGCTCTCATAGTTCAAGTTCAAAATGCCTAATGTGTGGAAGAGGCAGAGAGAGGAAACATCACTTATTTTTGTCTTGAGGAGAGTCTAGTGTGTGGACCCAGGACATTCTGTGACCCAGAGCCATTACTCTTTTTCAACCCTGCTTCCCTCCTGTGTTCCCCAAATACCACTCGTTTTAATACCTGAGTCTCCTTCCTTCTATGCAGAAGGTATTTCCTACTTCCATCTTCTAGTCTCTACTTAAACACAATAGTCTGAAATTTCTTAAGGGTTTGAAGTATCAGTAACTATTAGAAAAGAGTGATAAAGCAACAAAATATTTAAGTTGTAGAAATCTCCAGCTTTAGCCTAATGTAAGTGAAGGTATACTTGACTTTCTTTGCTTATTTTATTTATCTCCATTTGCTTATCTATAAAATAGAATAATGTCTGTTCATAGTGGTAACTGAGATGATATGAATTACTGTTTGTAGTAGCCAAGCACAGTTCTTAATACATTAACAGGCAAAGAATGCATTATATTCGGCCTCTCTCCATATGTCATCCTCATGCCTACTCCCCATAACTCTGTGTTCTACTTGTCAGAACCACTCGAACACATGCACACACACGTTCTCTCTCTCTCTCTTTCATATTGATGGTTCCAGTCTTAATTTCTCTAATCTCTATTGATTGGAAAGTCCAGTCCTCACTTTTCTGCCTCCTCCCCAACTCAGATTTGGAAATGTGTGAGGCTGGTGATGAGGGTGGGGGGTCTGGAATCAGACGTCCCTGTGATCAAGCCCCAGCTCCACTTATTTCACATGTGACCTCAGAAACACTTCCTCATGTCTTTAGGGCTCTGTGACATCTACCTCAGAGGGCAGAGGAAGGACTGCATGAGGCGTTGCTCGTAAGGCATTCAGCAGAGGCCTGGCATAGGGTCTGCTGTAAATGATCATCGTGGACAAGGGCAAGTGTAGATCTCAAAATATGTGTGTCTTAGGTCATTGCTTGGGCTTCACTCCTCTGTCAAGCCTGACTACATCCAGCCAGCCCTGTGTGGCAGCTTGCACCCAAGGGGATGCTTCTCCATTTCTTGGAGGCATGAGACAGAGGGAGCAGAGAAGGAAACAGAATATTCAAGCCCAGGAGAGAATCCCAAGGATGGGGATGTGGGATCTGCATGCGGGTTGGAATTCTGAGGGCGTGCCTGCGCCCAGGACCTCCTGCTTGGACTCCTGCACTCATGAAACGCCATATTTCAGCCAGCCGTTCACTGACCTTCACTTTCCTGGCTTCTGGTTGATATCCGGGGCAAGAAAAAGGAGGAAAAGATGGGAATTTCTCCGTCCAGTTAATATAGAAGTATATTCTTTTTCTGGTATACAGAGAGGAAATTAGTTTCACTCAGTGATTCAGAGGGTCCGTTTCTTGCTTCCAGGCCCCACATTCCAGAAGTGTGACAGAGGATGGTGGGGACAGGCCTGGGTGCTCCCGGTTCCCCTCGCTCACTCACGACACCCTGAAGACTATATTTTGGGCTAAATTGACTGATTAAACCCTTCAAAACTTCTGCCTGAGCTTTTCTAAGGCTGATGCCCAGTTAACACTTTCTGAGTGGTATTTTTCAGTATTTATAATACTTCTTATTCCCTGAGTTTTGTGGCACAGCTGTGCATTTGTTTTTCCACTTACTAAATCCCCAGGAGGAAAAAGAAAAAGAGAAGGTGGTATCCCATACAACAGGGTCATGGGGCCGCGTGTAGTCACAGGCACCTTGCTCATTGAGTCACGGGGTGTGACTCACGTTTCCCCGGGCAGGCGGAGGCTCGCTCCGGCATCAGGAGAGTGAGGCTTGGGAGCTTGGAACCCAGGCTGCCCGGACTCCCGCTGAACCACTGCAGGCGCGACACACAGACATCTTCTGGAGGGAGGACTGGAAGAAAAATGTAGACCCTGCAAGCGCCTGTCAGTTCATGTCTCTGAGCAGTCTGATCTGGAAGTAACAAGAGACAGAGCAGCACAAGGCTCCCCTGTGCCTCCCCAAAGCCCTGTCTCCTTAAGTCTAGGTTGCAGGCTGTCAGGACCATTCTCCTGGGTCCCGGCACTCCAGGGTCCCTCTCCCCAAAGCCACAGTGACTATCCCCAAGGCACCAGTACAGGAGCCAAATACCATGATATCTGGGGATCTCATTAGAAAAGGGGCTCATCAGTGCAGTCACATAGATACCACGTAGGCAATGTGGGGTTTCCCACAGAAACAAAGGCTGTACATCAGCCATGGTCCTTCTCTTCTTGGTGGAAGGAGCTCTTGACTCATGACCACCATTGTAACAGACCTCAGCCCCTGCTAAGGGTGCAGCTTCATCAGGCAAGCCACACTCTGGGGCTGTATCCTGAGAGCTGGATCTCTCTGAGGTCCCTTTCAATTCAAATGTTCTGGGCACTGTGACTCATTCATTCATTGATTCCTTCAACAAATACTCATGAGCACCTCTCATGCCCCAGGTACATGGAATGTAACAAACTGGAGACATGGCATCCGTGCTACATACCAGTTCTGCTGGCTGTGCACCTGAGAGTCCAAGGCATCCCTGGGTATTGCTGAGGAAAAGCTGAGAATCTTCTTGAGGAAGCTCAGAAGGAAGGTCCTCATTGGAGTCATTCCTGGATCACCCCTCTTTCTCTCTCCCCGCATTTGGGTGGTCAGCAGACTCAGCCTTAGTTGCCATTCATACTGTGAGCCCTTAGGAAAGGCTGAAGTAGAATCAGATACCCAAGTCCCAGGTTCCCAGGCACTGGGGCCCTTCAGTGGTTCCTAGTTCTGGTGCCCAGTTTATGCCTTTCTCTTGGAGATCCCAAAAGCAGGAAAGGCTGAGTGCCAGCAGGCCGAGAAGCAAGTACTTGAAAGCGGGCGGTTTGTGTTTGTTTGTGGTGTCTGTGATTAGCCAAGTAAACTGAGAGACTAACAGGCACTCCGTAGGTGCCAGGCATTCGCTTCAATTCCACATATTCTCCTTAAAGGCCCTCAAATGTTGACCCAAGAGAAACTGGAAATACTTGAGCACCTAAGCCACTGAAATCCAGAGGACACACAGCTGAGAGACACACACTGCATTTATCACTGCCTGGAACCTGTTTGCAGTCCTCTGGAGAGCAGCGGACGGAAGGCTTCAAGTAGGCAGCAGGTCTTTCCAAGGCCATCAAATCATCAGTTAATCTCGGGCCTTATTTGTCAAAGTCCCTTCTGTTTTAATATGTAGCTCTTTGGAATTAGCAATAGTATGAAATTGAAACCATGGAAAAGGAAATGAAACCCAGATATTGATATTATGAACTGAAAAATGACTGAGTTTTTAAAATATATGTGATTCTTGTTGTATGTTTATCTGAAATAAAATGGATTTAGGCCTAAAAAGCCAGAAAAGCAAATTTAGAGTAGATGGAGGTTTTTTCTTGAAAGGGGGAAAAATATTGCCAAATATGTCATCTGCGTATTTTGGCAGTTTTATCTTTTCCCTACTGGTGTTTTATATCCTTTATTTCTCTTGACTTAATTACATTAAGTTGTGAACTATAATACAACATTGAACACTAACAGTTACAAGGCATTTTGGTCTTTTTCCAAATTTTAAATGCTTCTCATGTTTCAGTCACCATGAAAAGTGTTGCTTGCCGTAGATCTCCAGCAGACACCCTCTGTCAGGTTAAGGAAGTTCCCTTCTGTTTGGGGTTTGCTTATATGTTTATCATGAATGGTCTGTTAAATTGTCTGCGAGTCCCTTTTCTGTGTCCATTGATATAATGATATACTTTTTACTCTTTCATTGTCTTGGGTGGTAAAAATTACATGAATAGATTTTTTTGTAGTGTTAACTGATTCACTTTGGAATTTTCCACTTTGTCAAAAGACCAAGACCAATATACACTATTAAATTTAATTTGTGATTAAATTCGATTTTGGTATAAAATGGATATTTTTAATCTATCCATTATTGGCCAATAATTATATTTTAATTATCTTTCCCTACTTTATCTATTTTTGATACCAAAGATTTGCAGTTGGCAACCTCTTTAAATGCTGGGGAAACTTCACACCTTTTCTGTGCTCTGAGCCTGGCATCTTTTTGTTGTTGCTTATTTGTTTTTTGAAAGAGTAGATTTTTCACTGCCATCATTTCCATTTCAGGGGGGTTATTATTCTAGAAAATCTTCTATTTATTTTTGGTATAATTATCGTAATTTATATATTCCTGTGAGTTTGTCCACTTTATATACTTTCTCAAATAGATTGTTGTTCAAAGTATGCTTTTATAATTATTTTTCTCATCTTCATCTGCCCTTGTATCCTTTTTTCCTACCTTATTTTGTTGCTTGTGTCTCTGATTTGTCATAGCTGTTAAAGGTTTTTTAAATTCATTTTTACAAATACTCAAATACTCGAAGTTTAATAAATAACATTTCTATTGTTTTATGTATTCTTTTTGTATTTTTATTG